AATTAATAAAAGAATATGTACCTCTTTGATTGGACGTACCTCTTTGTTTGGACAAACTGAAGAGATTTCACTAGTTGAGCGATGTTTTATGGGCATTTGAGTGTCATCACGATGTTGAAATTGAGAGATATTAAGCTCGTTGGATTTGTCTTGTCGTGACGCACGATTCGACTATGAGCTCGCCTTATTCAGAATTTGTTTGACCTTTCAAATATGTTCGAAAAGCTTCTATAAGTGATTTAATGGCTTGAACCGAGCTTCATTTAACTTGGATTTGACAAAATTTCATATCATTGGGTCTGTCTCGTCGGACCGACCAATTTGACTGTGAGTTTGCTAAAATCTGAGCTCTTCATGACTCTCAATCGAAATATTACCTAAAGATTCATGTCATGCATCGAAATTCATACTGAGTGTTGAAAATTTAGTAATGGAGCATCAAACTTAATTTCTTGTGTTATGACTCATTTGTGTAACTCAAATACTCTTGCAAATAGTAACATTTTGGTGCAATGCACTTCGTATAATTGCATTTTTTTTTAAAAATATTTAGATACATATCACTAATTTTTATGTATTTACATATCTAATGTTTAAATCTAATTTTTTTATCATTTTTATCATTAAAATCTTTCATGTCCATCATTCTAATTTTTTAAAAGTGTCGTGTGTAAAAACTGGAGTTGAGATGATAGATATGTAAATGCACAAGAACTGTATGACATATTTGTAAATTTTCCTATTACGTAAGAGATAAGCGTGTGATTGGGATGATTTGAGTCAAACAAAAAAAGTATATGTTAGCAATTGCTGCACGTGCCAATGAAAATGGATCCACCTAAAAGAGCATTTAATTCATTAAAAAAATCAAATATATAACTCTCCAAATTAAACTCTTATATTTTTTATACATCTCACACGAAATATTATATTTAATTACAATGTACTTGAAATTACATTAAAACCTCATTAGTTATTTCCTCCTCAGTGCGCTCACATCTCGCAGGAAAAATTATTTCATACATACGGTGTTTGATCTGCACTGCTCATAACAACAAAAGTTACATTTTTGTGGGCCCAATTTTTATTTATTTTTTAATTGAAGGAATGTGATGAGCGGTGCAGATCGGAGACCGTATGAAATAATTTTTCCATCTCATAGAGCCTTTCACAACGGTTGCAACTTCTTCTTGCGCATGTGTTCTTTTTTATTTTGATTCATGTTTTTTATTTTTTAAATATGCTTGATCAGTGCATTTTTACAGATTTTTAAAATGTTTAAAATTTTATTGAGTATTTTTTAAAAAATAATTTAAAATATTAGAAGATATTGATCATATTTTATTTCAAATAAAAATATAAAATTAAAATAAAAAAATATATATAAAACAGAGTGATTCACAACAGCCCCAAAAACTCATAATCGATTCTATTATTTATCTATTATAAAATAACTCCTGGAGCACGAACGGTCAATCGTATCAATTCTTAGCGCTCATAAAAAAAAAATATATATATATATATATATATATATAAATAAATGATTAGTTAATTGATTAGCCTCAGTCATGAGTCATTAAATTTCTAAAGTGGCGTTGTCCACACTCAAATTTTATTAGTACTAATATTACGGAGATTCAAATCTGTGGTCAATTGCATACCTTTTAAGTAATTTGTTTTAATACCAAATATAATTTTGCATGTCAGAAAATTTGCGGCGGTAAAATAATAGATTAAAATATTAGAGCTGTATGGATATTCAATGCACACTCATGTGAAAGAAAGCAATCAGTACAGACATCAGAAATTTTTTATGTAGAAAACCTAAAAATGAAAAAGAACTCAGGGTTTTGTCAAACTGAAGAGATCCACTACAAATAAAATATTACAAGTAGAGTCCCTTGTTTCATGTGTGAGAAAATGTTACACAATCATTCGAGCTACAAAGTAAGTGTGCGAATGAACTTATTATAAGAGGAGTGTGATTGTTGATAGTGATCGGTGGCAGCCAACGAGTGGTGGTCGGCGACGAACCTCGTCTAGTGGTCGGCGACGAACCTCGTCTAGTGGTCGGCGGCGATCGGTGGCGAAGTTATGTTGATTTCAGCTCATTCTCTATGTTTTGGTTTGATTCAGACTTTAAGCTGGCAAAATTTTTTGTCCAGATTCCGGGCGTAGTTTTATGTGCAGACTCCAATAATATGTTGTCATATGTGCTACATTGTGGAGGTTATTTATGAGTCATTGAAAAGAAACTCATATATTTCACCTCAATAACCTTGAAATAACATTTGCGGGTTTCTCCTAAATAACCCGAAAATAATGACGTAGAGGTTATTTCGGGGTTATTTATGGGTTATTGAAGAGAAACTCATATATTTCACTTCAATAATCCCTGAAATAACAAAAAAATAACTCCGAAATAACCTACGTGGTGTTATTTATGGGTTATCCCCGAAATAACACCGCAAAAGTTATTCGTGGGTTATTTCTAGGTTATTGCAAAGTTTGCGGTCCACTTTAATATTTTTTAGGTGGGTCAGGTATAACACACGTGATGATATATTACTGGGAGTCCGCACGTAGAGCTACTTTTGAAGTCCAGACAAAAAATTTTTTCTATTAGCAGGGTGTTGCTCTATTTACAGAGTCTCAATTGTAATAAATGAATAAATATAAATCATTTTGATTGGACGACTCAAAAAGATTCATTTAATCAGACAATATTTGAGTACCTTAACGATGTCAGAATTGAGAGATAATGAGCTCGTTGGGTTCGTCTTGTCGAGAGGCTTAATTCGACTATGAGCCGTCATATTTGAAATATGTTTGGCCTTCTATATATGCCTGAAAAGCTTCCAATGGTGATTTAATAGCTTGATTTGACCAATTCCAGTAACATTATCCATTATCCCACACGTGGTAAATGATTACACAATCATTCGAGCTATAAAGTAGTCTAGAGATGAACTTATTGTAAACGGTAGGCAGGGGCCAATACTCATCGACCGTAGTTGGCAAGTAGGGCTGTGAAAACGGCTCGTTGCTCGCAAATAACTCGTTGTTCTATTTGTTCGCTAGCAAATAAGAAGAACATAAACAATTTTTTTTGCGCTTGAAATATAAACTAGCCAAACACAAACAAAGTTTTGCTCATTCATGTTCAACTCGTTTTGACTCAAAATAATTAATGAGTATTGTTTTTAAATAACTTAATTACCTACAAATATTTATAATCTATTAGAATTATTAATTAAAAATAAAATAAATACATACTAAATTATATTTAAATGAATATCTTAATTTAAACAATAAGATTTAAATATCGCTTTTACCTCTAATAGTCAAAGTCTATATGACTAAGGTCATCAAAATGAATGGTTGTTCGTGAACAGCTTGTGCTCGACTCTTTAAGCAAACGAGCCAAACACAAAAAAGATTTTTTAAGCTCGATATATAAACGAATCGAACACGAATAGTGATATTTTTTAATGAGCTGAACACGAACAAAGCTTGGACTCGCCCAAGCTCGGCTCATTTACACCTCTACCAAAAAGTGGTGATCGGCGACGGGTTACAACCGGTGGTCGGCGACGAAGTGATGTTAGACTTCAGGTCATTCTCTAATTTCTAGCCTTTTTCAACTTTCAAGCCCTCATAACTTCATGAGAGGGGCGTGATTTTTCTTATAAAGTTCTGATTGCAATTAATGAAAGAATATGAACCTCTTTAATTGGACTATCTGAAGATTTCACTGATTAGACGGTGGGCATTTGAGTGTCATAACGATGTCAAAATTAAGCGATTTTCAGCTCGTTGGATTTGTCTTGTCGAGACGCTCGATTCAACTATGAGCTGACCTGATTCAAAATTTGTTTAACCTTTCAAATATGTCTGAAAAACTTCTATAAGTGATTTAATGACTTGATCTGAGCTTAATTTAACTTCGATTTGACAAATTTTTGTATCATTCGGTCTATCTCGTTGAGCTGGTTAATTTTACTGTGAGTTTGCTAAAATCGGAGCACTTGATGGCTCTTAATCGAAATATTGCATAGAGATCCATGTCAAGCATCAAAATTCATATTGGATGTTGAATTTTTGTTGATGGAGCATCAAACTTAATTTCTTGTATTATGACACATTTGTAGAACTCAAATACTCATGCAAATAGTAACAATGTGGCATAACGTACTTCGTATAATTACATTTAAAAAAAGAATATGTAGATACATATCACTATTTCTTATGTATCTACATATCTAATGTTTATTATTATTATTTTTTTTACAATTTTTATCATTAAAATCTTTCATGTCTCATAAAAATATCATCATTCTAATTAAAAAAACGTAAAATAAGCTCTTCCATGCATCCGTGTGAAGCGTCATGTATAAAAACTGGAGTTGAGATGATGGATACGTAAATAAATAGGAACTGAAACAATCTTCCTATTACGTAAAAGAGAACGGTGGTGATTTGGGTTGATTTGAGTCGAACTAACAAAAAAATGAATATGTCAGCAATTCGTGCATGTGCCAATGAAAATCCCAAATTAACTGTCAACAAATTATATATTCATTGGAATATATTAAATGCTATATATATATATATATCATTTAATCAAATTGAATTCAGCCATTTGATCTTTAGTGAGAAAATATTAAGTGTGATCAGCCGTAGATATGTATTAGAGCTCAACACCCCGAATACACTCATTAGCATGCTAGTATTATAAATCCACTTTTTCAAAAACACATAACACTGAGAGACAATATGAGGATGGAGATATTCTGGGCTTCCCTTGCCAAGAGTTCACAACAGAATCATTGTAATTCAGAAATTCAAGTTCATAATAGTTATTGTCAATATCATTCAGCATAATTATTAGTTATTACTCAGCAAACCAGCCTACATAGGATAAGGAAGAACATACTTAATAGTTATTTTTGCTCCATGCATAACTAGATATCTTCTTAAGGCAGTCCACCTCCATACCTTCACCCCCCCCCGCCCCACCCACCACCCCCACCACCGCCACCGAATCCTCCACCGGCACCACCTCCAGCTCCACCACCGTACCCTCCACCGGCACCGCCACCACCACCGAATCCACCGCCACTGCCCCCGATTCCGCCGCCGCCACCCAAACCACCACCACGGCCAGCTCCACCACCATGGCCTCCTCCACCACCAACACCACCACCCAATCCACCTCCATCCCCGCCTCCTAGTCCGCCACCGCCACCGGCTCCACCACCAAAACCTCCTCCTGCACCACCTCCGAGCCCTCCGCCCTCACCTGCACCACCTCCGAGCCCGCCACCCTCTCCACCACCGCCACCCAGCCCCCCACCTCCACCGTCTCCAAGTCCACCGCCACCACCAAGTCCCCCACCAGCACCACCGCCGAAACCGCCGCCAACACCACCACCACCTCCTCCATGATGGGGCCACTTCTGCTCCTCCAGGCCGCCATTACCCGCTGAAAGCTTCCTGCTGGCAGAGCAAGCCAACAAAAGGGAGGCCCAAAGAGCAAACAAAAAGAAGATTCTACTTCCACTACTGCCAATCTTTCCCATGTTGGTACTTGGGAAGTAGATTTAGCTAAGTGGCTTGAGCTAAGAGTATGGCGAGGGCTAATATTTATAATGATTTCTATTAATGGAGAATTAATTGCAGCTGATGACAATTATAATCTGTGATTAGAATTAATGCACTCTCATCCATCAACTACCAATCCATGTTAGGCGTATTTAATGAACCATGACTTTTGATTGCCAACCCTTGCCAGCTTGAGATGTAGATGAAGACTTTTGATAGCTTGACAAAACTTGATTCTCATTGTTTATTATTGCATGCATGCTTTAATATTACGCATGTTATCTCTGGTAGATCAGAGATTATAAATAGAAACCAATTGGTCAAATTTATTTAGAAATAAGAAATAGTATTTTCCACCGTCCTCTGTCACTAAATTTTATAGTTCTTCTATAACCTCTCTTAAAATGTTCTTCCAACACCATTTTTGTCTGATAAATATTATTATCTCTATATGGTAATACAACAACAATAACAAAAACAACAACAACAACAAAAACAGAAGCCTTAATCTCACTACTTGGGGTTGGCTACATGTATTATTTTTCTCCATTGCATCCTATTTGGTGTCATATCTTCATTTAGTTCTAATAAATTAAGATCATTTTTTATACAATAAGCCAAGGCTTCCTGGGTCTATCTCTGTCTTTCTTAGCATAAGTCGAATCTAAAACATCTACTCTCCTAATTGGATCATCTGATGGTCGACATTTAATGTGACTAAACCATCTCTATGTTGTAATACACATGTGACAGATATTTATGGTGAAAATATGTATCATTTATATATAATGCTTCATTCAATGGAGGATGTTATCATTTAACATGTTTTTTGCTTTTTTTCTCCATTGTGTTGTTTTAATATAAACAAATTCTTAGTAGCACATAGTCAATTAAGTAAAAATATAAGGTTTTATGTATTTTCAATATGGAATCAAATATTTGTTCCAGCAATTAGTATACATGTGTGTGTATGTAGTGCTGCTCCAAGTCATGGCCTTATTACCAGCTGTGATGAAAATTACAATTGATCACTTCTTTTATAATTAGAGGTCACTCTATATTCTTATATTTATAAGCTTATGATAAACATTTGTTTACATAAATACTAGTGACCAATAATAATTTATTAATGAACAATATTTTGTATAATAAAGTCATAAGTAATTGGTGCATGCTACATTATCTAAAATCAAGAGTAGTTTATTAATATTGCATAGAAATAAATAATAATAATAATTAAAATCATACAATTAATTGTACATTATTTATGTTATTTTGATTAAACTACCAAAAAAACATAATATATAAATTTTATTATGTTTATAAAAGTGGATTATGATTCTTCCCATATTGAATCCTAGTCTTGCATTTTAATTTGATTTAATGATTTCAATCATATCTTCCATTATATAATAAATATATATTAATTACTGAATTGCATTATTAATAGTTAATTGATGAATGAATATATATTCTTGCATGATACAAGGCATTTTCAATTTTAGCTGATAAAAAAATTTATTATTTAAATTTTTCATATAAATTGATAAATTAATATTAATTAATGAACTATTATTTGATTATAAAGAAATCTTTGAAATATGATCACGAGAATATGAGAAAACAATCAGACTGTTGTTTTAAAAAGGATTTATGATTATTCTCCCATATTAAATCTAAGCTTTTCATTTTAATTTGATTTTGATTACAATCATATCAATATAATAAATATTAATTAATGACTTATATTATTTTTACTTAATAAATGACTATTTATTATTCCAAAATTTATGACTTTTAAAATTATATTTTATACAAAAAATAATATTTAAGCTATATTATTTAACAAATAAATTTAATTAATCAACTAATATTTAATTAGATAGAATAAAAGAGACATAATGGTAAGAATAAGAAAAGACATAATATTGGCAACAATAAGTTGTTAATACTTCAATTTTAAATTCATCTTTCCATTAGTATCTATATATTTCTTTTAGCAATACTTTGAAGAGGCCATATGTGTTCTCTTAAAAATGATTTACATTATTAAAAAATATTTATTTATTCACCATAAATGATTTCTACATATTGAGTATATTAAAATAATTATACTATTTAATTCATCATATTAATTTATAAAAATGTAAGAAATGAACTAATATTTAATTAGACATGTCGAATTCAAAAGGCATAATCAAGAAAATACGAGCAGACAATCTTTACTAATATTTTATTACTGATATTGAATCCTTATTTTTATTTTAATTTTATTTTATGATTTCAATTATGGTCATATGATATAAAATAGATAAATATTAATCAATGGATTATATCATTATTAGTTATTAAATGAAAATATATTATTTCATAATCCATGATTTTTGAAATTACAGTTTATTAGAATTTTTTCTATTTAAATAAATTATATTAATTAACAAATAAAATTGATTAATTAATTATTATTTAACTAGATAGAAGCCAAAAAGACAAAATCACAAGTATATCAGAAGATAAATATGATATCTGTTATAATAAATGAAAACTTCCCTTAATTCTTAATTTTAATTTTCACCATTGATTTATATATTTCCCTGCATTGCTATGGAGAAGTTCTCTATCTTTTTCAAAATTTCAGATATACACACACACACACACACATATATATACACACACATACATATATACACACACACACACATACATACATACATATATGTGAATAACAAATATAAAATTATGCATTATGAATATTATTGGATAAAGGATACATATCCACAATATATATAGTTGATATGTATCTATTATCCAATAATATTCATAATACATAATTATATTTTACCTATATATCACGTCGTTCAACTTGACACAATAATGATGATGCATTAATAATTTGATACGTTGCTTTAATTTTTTGTCTTTTCGTTTTAATATTTATCTATTTTATCCAAAAACTTGGATGAGAATTTTAGCTTATACTTCAAAATATTTTAAAATTTTTTAATCTTAAATGATTTAATTAGTCTTTTATTTAAAATACATAATATTTAAATGCCTATTACAAAACTAATTGTTTTTCATTTATATTTTATCTATTATAATTTTAAAATAAATTTATAAATTTTCATTTATATGATATTCATACATTAAGCTATAATAATAAATTTATTCTTTTGACCCTTTTTATTATAAATTGTTAATAAGGAAATTGGTAAAATTTATAATTTAATTTTTTTCTTAAAATCATTTACGTGTACTAAAAACATCTGAAACTATATTAGTACATATAATTGTTAATATTTTTTAACATGTTATTAAAATAGCAAATTTGATTTTTCTTATTTAAATGGAATTCCATTTTAAATTATCAGCAAATTAATTCCTATTAATGGCAGTGATAATGAAAATTAAATCTACCATTCAATAACAAGGTTCAAAAGGGTAAGAAGTGGAGTAATATTTTCAAGAATAGTCTATAATAACAATAATTGCACTTATAAATGATAGAAATTAAATTAAATATTTTTATTTAATAGACTGTACGGTCAGTCACAGAATAAGCATAAGCATTCGTGGCTCCTACCCTTCAACTCATTTTAGAGAATGTGAAAGATGCATGAGACTGTACGGCCATTCTATTAGAAGATTTTTTGTGATTTGGACAATCACTTTTGATTCTGTTTGGGGCAGTTTATTTGGTGCGACGACGTTTTGAAAACACACATGATCTGTTTGGATAAACTGTGTTTTGGCAGCTTATGAGTTTTCACACCGCACATGTCTAGGTGTAGTGACGGTTTTCTGGTTGCGGTCTGGCTTTTCCCAAAAAATAAAAATTTGTAATAACTACCACACCGAACTTATTAACAGATTATTTTTAATCAGCTTATGAGCTGATTATTAAATAAGGTACAGTTGCTCCGAACAGACCCTTACACTGCATATTACTCTCACAAAAAAATTATCTACAATAGCAGTAAATATAAGTCGTGAGTTATTGAATTTAACATCTATATAATTTTGATATACTTTATAAAATGATTATTTTTGGAAGCTATCATTTCAACGGAAGAATTCACGAGGGAGCCGTCTAATTCTTTGCTATTTTGCCATGGAGACAACTCAATTTGTATCTCATGGTTGATTTAATAGAGCAATGACACGATCGAGATATTTTGCAAGCGAAAACGTGCTAATTTAGAAATAATAAATTATTACAGAACAAGGCTGCATAAATCGGGAAATACATATGTAGCCGGATAATCACATATAGTTATTAATATCCCAACATATATATTTTTTAAGAAGAAAACATTATGTTATGATAAGGTGGGTGCCAATAATGCGAGCTATCATGGGAGGTAATATTCTCTCTTTAAGGGGATAGTCCGCCGACGCC